CCAGATGTGGTGGCAAGCACCTGTAGTCCCAGCTAGCTGGGAGGCTAAGGAGGGAGGATGGCTTGAGTCCAGGAGTTCAAAGTTGCAGTGAGCCCAGATTGTGCCACTGCACTCTAGCCGAGGCAACAGAATGAGACTCTGTCTCAATAAAAAAAAAAAAAAAAAAAAAAAAGCTGCAGTTTGCCCTTGGCTAGGTCAGTTCCTTGCTAAGGGCTGTTACCTTCAGGTGCTTCAGAGCCTGCTCTGCAACAAGTTCTTCCTTCTTGTTCCACTCAACGGCGTTCATTATACAGGTCCACAGAAGACCAATCACTGCTGTTTCTGGAAGATCATTCCTCTTCATTTCTTCTTTGACATAAAGCACCACCTACATTTCATGGAAATGGGGTCAGAAAGTAACAGGCAGATGGAGAGCTCTCTCCTCCCTCCTAGCTGCCCAGTGAGTCAACGTTTTGGGGCAGCTAAGAAACAATCTGCTTGGCTTCTCCTTTCCTTGTCTGCATTCTCAGACTGGAAGAGGGAGAAAAAATACAATGATTTGTTCTCAAGCAGACTTATTTTTAGTACCAAAATTAATAGGTTTAGCTCTGGTCAGGAGCTGCTGGATAATGTGGAGTAAGAGAGGATTTTTGTTTCCTCATAGAGAAACCCCTTTGAGTCTAATAGAGTAGGGATACTTGGGTCAGTTTGACTTTTTTGGAGATTTAAAGAAGGCAATAGAGTTGTGAACTTTTATCTCCATCCCTAAACTTTAAAACCTCTTGATGGATACCATCTTGGGTTTGTACAGGTCCATTCTCCACAATTTATTCTTCAATCATTACTTTTGATGATCATTATGCCCCATCTCAGTGAAAAGTTAATTTGTAAATAAATTGTAAAGTGCAAAGGTAATTTTTAGATTCCATATACATCAGCAGTATTCAGTAACTTATTTTCCCTTTTGAATTATGTATAAATATGCAAATTTATACTCAACCCTGACAGTATAGAATATAGGCTTGCCTAACAATGTATTTTATATCAAATTTATTTGAAAGGCTTTTTCCTTTTAAAATAAAATAATAAATAGAGGTTTGGGCCTCAGAAATGATTAAAAGTCATCATGATCTCTCCAGTATACTAGTTTGCAAGTAGTAGTAAAACCTTTTTCTCCTCCCTTTTCTTGTTTAGTGGAAACACATTGCTTTCTTGACCTCTGGCCTGGTGTGCAGAAATGCCAGCAGTGACCTGAGTAGCCTTTGAAAGCAGAAGGAGCTGGGCAGTCCCAGTCCCTGTGCTGGCTGGAGGAAGCCACATGAAAGTGTGACATCCTGGCATCTACAAGCATCACAAGGCTTTTTATGTTTCCTTCTTTTCCCCATGGAAAATCATGTACAAATTCTTGCTTGGAGAAATATGACTGAATACACTGTTATCCTTAATATCATGAGACTTAAGAATATTTGTCATTCCAACACCTCCACCTGCTGGATAGTATCAGTCCTACATTCTCCAGCCTTCAACCACGTGAGGTGCCATGCAGGGCTTGGAGCATGGAAGTAGGTGCAGGTCAGGCATTTTGGAGCAGGTGGAAAAAAAGAAAGGATGCTTTATATTAATGTTTAGATTGTTGTGTGAAAGATTTGAAACTTCAAATAGAAAGCTTTCTCCAGATACATTAAAAATAAAAAAAAGATATAGTCATAGCTTTGTGAACTATAGCATGTATATATGAACTATGTATATGCATATTATAAAAAAGATAGCTTTTACATTATAGGGAAACACAGCTATTTCAAGTATGAGTGGGATTAAACAAGTCACACATTCAACTAGTCTTTTCCCATGATAGGAATTCAAGCTTTTTTCAAATAAAAAGCCTACATATTCATACAGAGTGATGAACAAAAAATCCAGTGTTAATTCCAAACACTAGGCAGATGCTTAATCAGGTTAGATAATCTGCAACAAAATTTAAAAACTACCATATAATGGGCTATACTGATAGTGGATAGTCAAATCTATTTGACAGATGACATATTTTGAAAATCATAGCAGCCTGGTAAAATGTCATTTGTGTGAAAATCACTATTAATTTCTGGACCATCCTAGAGTGTTAACAAAAATGGAGGATTCTAAATCTATACTTTGAAGCTGAGTTAATTTAAATGGTAGGAATAAGTGGATAAATTTACAGCAATAAGCATAGGGCAGACTTTTTAAGGAAAGCCTTTGCTACACAGCCCATGTAATTCCTCCCATTCACGTATATTGCAGTGATGTCTGCCCGTGTTCTCCCACCTCCTTGATCGGGCATTCCTGAGAAAGACGCTCCTGGAGCTCCTTCTGCAGTTCCTTCCTGGTGCCCAGGGACTGCTGGACTCGAAGGAAGTCGGAAAGCTCCTTAAGACCTGCGTCAGTGAAGTATTTAGCAAAATGATCCACACTCTGTCTGTTAACTGGAAAGAGTTCCTGAAAGAGAAAAAGGGAGACTGTTATACACAAAGCCATTCAAATTTCGGCAAGCATAAAGGACAAAAATCTTCATTTCACTTAGAATATCTCATATTTCGAAGAAAAGAATAAGACTGTTTTACAAAACAACAAATCACTGGTCTATTTATTGAGCTATTGAGCTAAACATCTTCTGAAATTAGGCAGTTTCACAAAGAAAAAGAAAAAACGGTAAGCAATTGAGATAAACTTGGACTCTATTGTGCCAGTATTGAGAGGTGAGGCTTTTAAAGAGTTACTGGATTATAAGGGCTCTGCCCTCATGAATGGATTAATCCATTCATG